AGCTGCCCTTTGTGTGGCTATTGATGATGGTCCCTCCTCAGCAATGTCACAGAAGTGGAGACAGGCAAACCACAGCAAGCCTCTGATTTCTGGCCTATAGATTTCCACTTTCCCTGAATCCTTCCGCTCTGCAGCAGAACCAAACGCTAACTATAAAGGCTGAACTCAAAAGAGTGATTCCGTGAATTTCCACTTACAATTTGTTTTAGAGCTTAGAATTTATAGTCGAGCCCGCACCATCAGTTTTTACCGAGAAAGCCCTAAATTTCATTCAACGGCAACTTGAGTTTGAAAAGGTTCTGAAGGCAACTAAACAGGACCACTTCATCCAACCTTACTGTATTCGCTGGGGTAAATTATTTAAGTTACCTGTGCTATTTTGATAGGGGCGGTAACAGGAACTTGTCTCTTGAGGGTTACTGCGACACTTGAGAGTAAAAACCGTGTCATCTGAAGTGTCATCTGCTTTTCTCTGCTTTGGTGGCCTTGGTTTGCGGAGTGTTAATCACTAATAATTACTAATAATTGCTAATGTGCTTTGCACAACCATTCACCAAGAAAGGCTCCAGGTAAAAGTGGAAGGAGACGTGTGGGTCGTTTGTTGAATATTTTTTGTTGTGAACATCAAAATGTAAAAATATGTATATCTGAACACTATGGAGGTGATGCCTTCTTCCCAGGTTGTAAAGACTAAATAGGGTTCTACGTGAGAATATAGTTTTATACTATTGAATATCGGCCATGTGAATATTTTGCCCCGGGTGCTCCAAAGTCCAGACTTTATTTTTTTAAGGTTTATTTATTATGTATACAGTGTTCTGCCTGCATGTACGCCTGCGCAGCAGAAGAGGGCATTAGATCTCATTATAGGGTTGTAGGCCACCATGTGGTTGCTGGAAATTGAACTCAGGACCCTGGAAGAGCAGCCAATGCTCATAATCTCTGAGCCATCTGCTCTTAACCTCTGAGCCATCTCCCCAGCCCCAAGGTCCAGACTTTTAAAACACCTTAGGAAGCCAGGTGGTAGTGGCACAAGGAAGGCTTTAATCCTAGCACTTGGAAAGCAGAGGCAGGCAGATATAGTTCAGGACAAGCCAGGTCTATAGAGTGAGTTCCAGGACAGCCAGAGCTATGCAGAGAGACCGTATCTTGAAAAACAAAAACAAACCACTAGAAGTGGGCTGGAGAGATGGCCCAGTGGTTAAGAGCCCCGGCTGCTTTTGCAGTGGAGCCAGAATCTTTTCCCAGCTCCCAGGAAACGGCTCACAACTGTCTCTAACTTCTGGTCTCCACAGGCACTTACAGGCAAGCAGGTACTTATGTACATAAAACAAAATAAAATCTTTAAAAAAATACTCTAGAGGTGACTTGGGAAAATGGATTTCAATCTCTCTCTCTCTCTCTCTCTCTCTCTCTCTCTCTCTCTCTCTCTCTCTCTTTCTCTCTCTGGTTTTTCAAGACAGGGTTTCTCTGCAGCCTTGGAGCCTGTCCTGGAACTAGCTCTTGTAGACCAGGCTGGCCTCGAACTCACAGAGATCCGCCTGCCTCTGCCTCCCGAGTGCTGGGATTAAAGGCGTGCGCCACCACCGCCCGGCTAGATTAATCACTTCTTAAACAATTATGTGAATGGGTCTGGGTGAGCGCATATGTGTGAGGTGCCTGTAGAGACGGGAGGTATAAGATCTCCTTGAGCTCCGTGGAGTTCTAGCCAGTGGCGAACAATTCGGCCTGGGTGCTGGGAACTGAACCCGGGTCCTCTACGAGAGCAGCCAGTGATATGAACTGCCGAGCCATCTCTCCAGCCCTGGATGAATCCCTCTTAGACACAACAAATATACTGAGATCCTAGAATCAGAAGAAGATTAATGAATTCTGTTCTTCTTTTTGCAACCTGATAAAACCGGGTGTGTACCTGGGTTCTAAGGCTCAGACTCAGTAGCTAGTCTTGCTCAGCGAGCATCTCACACACTGTGCCATCTCACTGGCCCCAGAAGGGACAATCTCTGTACATGTGTGGTTCACGGCACAGTTGCAGCAGGCAGGATTTTTAATAGACAACAGTGACAATCATTAGAGATTACAGTTATGCGTGAGAGGCAACAGAGCTGGCTGGAACTATGACTCACATGCAGACATGGCAGGAAACCAGTCCTCTACATAGGCAGAGCCTCTGTGTGTGTGTGTGTGTGTGTGTGTGTGTGTCCCACTCTGTGGCCCACGCTGGCCTGGGACTGATTGTCTTCTTACTGCAGTTTTCCAAATGCTGATATTTCATGTGCACGCTACTTACTTCGCCAGCCTAGGAGTGGCTTCTTGCTCGTGCAGAGAGACACGTACCTGTTTAGAAGTGCCATCCTGACCAAATGTAAGCAGGCTGCCTTGGTCTGAAAACGACAAAGGACACAGGGGTCAAGTATGTGATGCCAGGAGAGGACAGTGTCCCACCTGCTTACTGTGGAATCGTGAAGCTTTTCAGAGGCTCTGACTTCCGCTGTGGTCACCAGGGACCGGGCTGAGCTGGACAGCTGGGTTCGGCAGAAAGGCCTCGCGAAGAACCTTCAGTAACCCATGCTGCCCCTCTCCTAGACTCTGGGTTCAACGGCGACTTTCTGAAGGGTTTTTCAATGTGCTGTGGGCAGGACTAGGTGACTGAGGCGTCACCTATGGAGAGCAGATTAGGACAGGATTTTCCCCACCATCCACCTGGGAACAGCATTGCTTCCTGAGGAGCAAGAGGCAAGGTTGATGTGATGCGTATGATTTAGCAGGGGCCTACCCTTCAACATGGAGCCAGGCTCCTGTAAGTTATTCAGTTTAACTGAAGTGAGATGCTTAAAAAGTAGGCCATAGCATCTGTATTTACGGTAACAAATTTGGCGCACACATAAGTGTGTGTTTTCCAGACTAGGCAAAAGTGGACGCAAGCTACAGAACGCTAGGGAAGCCTGGGAAGTCTGGGCTGTATTGGGATGCTTTGCTATAGCCTTTCCAGAGACCTCCCTCCTGCCGGAGGCACTGAGCCAGGCCGAGGCAGCTGCCTCTTTCTTCTGTGACTTCATTCTTCCCTGCTGCGGACACTCCAAACACTGGCAGTGGCTCAGCGCCCGGCATCACTTCAGCGGGAGTCTGCACCACGGTTGCTGTTGTTGTTTGTTTTTATCCGGCAGTCTTACTATGTCACCCGGACTAGCTTAGAAATGACTACATAGCTCAAGCTAACCTTGAACTCACAGCAATCCTTCTGCCTCAGTCTCCCAAGTGCTAGAATGACAAGCCCCAGCCACCACGCTGGCTGACACATCCTTTTTAAACCGACAGGTTGCCTTGTCTGTTCCAAGCCAGCGTGAATTCCACAGGAAGAGAGGACCGCGTGGCGCCTTTAGCTCCACACGCTCTTCCCGCCCCAGCGAGATCTTCCCTTCCCCGACCCGCCCTGAGCTCCACGCCCAGCGCGCCCTTCCCTTCTCCGGGTAGCTGGCACTACCGGGGGCGGCGGAGGAGAGGACAAGCCGGGCGGTTGGCGGGAGGAGCCAGACCGCCAGGCGCGCTGGAGGGCGGCGGCGTAGCAGGAAGCTCCCATTCATAAAGCGAACACCTACTCGCCGCCTCCTGCCTCTCCCAGCCGCGAGCAAGAGCTTGGGTTTGGCAACCTTCACGGTTTCTCCGCCAGGTCCTCTCCGCTCCTGGCCTCGTCGTCCACGACCAGCCTCGGTAGAACAGAGGAGACAAAAAAAAAAAAAAAAAAAAAAAAAAAGCAAGCTTGTGGCACAATACGTAAATCAAACCTCGCCCTTTGGCGCGAGGCTGTCCGACATTTTGTGCTTTGAAAGGTTTTGCGGGGAAATAGATTTAGGAAGCGACTGTCGCACTGCTCTGCCGGGCCTTTTTTCCAAGCGGTTGGCCTTTTAGCGGCCGCTGTTTACGCTTGCTTGGTGGCCCGGAGTGGGCAGGGCGGGAGCGGGCCAGGGGCGCTTTGGCATGCAGGGCGGGGCGCCGTGCTAATTCACCGTGCAGTCTCCCTCCGAATCGCGAGCTGCTCTCCACAATGATCCTCTCCGCGCAGCCCTCCGACCGGCCCCTGACTGCCAGCAGCGAGTGGCGAGCCCTCATTCGCTGAGCTGACGCCTGGCTCCCCGCCCCCCAGCCCCGTTACTCTCGCTCTGGAAATTACAACTCCTGGGCGCTCGGCGCGGCGGGCGCGGGAGGCGGCGGGGCCGGGAGGGGATCCCCGAACCAGCGGGCGCTCGCTCCCCGCCCGCCGCGGCAGCGTGGTGCGGCCAAGGTCAGGGGCGCTGCAGGAATCGGAGCTGGCTAGACGAGTCGGGGACGCGGGTCGATATCCGCCTGCGAGGTGGCAGCTCCGCGAGCAGCGGCCGGGGAGCGGGACGGCAACGACCTCCGGGCCGGGGGATGCCGAGGTGGCCGTGGCAGCGCAGCAGCCCGGCTGGCGGAGCACACCGGGAATCGACGTCGACTCCTTCTCCACCCGCTCGCGGGCGCTGTCCGCCGTCTGGTGGTGCTGAACTAGTCCTGGCGGCAGCCAAGAGCTGGGTAGGGGCGGGGCGCTCGGAGAAGACGACTTCGGGCCACGACGATGCGGTGCCCAGCTCAGTCGCCTAGCTGTCTGACAGCAGCGGGCCACTGGTCCTGCATGGAGGGGAGGCACAAGGTATCCGGACGGCGCTGCTGCTGCTGCTGATTCATCACCGGGACAACCTCGGAGGCCGCCGCGAGGGCTGTCCGCCACCTTCAGACGGCCGCCTCTGGTGCGGGAGCCTCGCCCTCGGGAGGTGAGGACCCCTCCCTTCTCTGGCGGCCGAGCTTCTTAGGGCGGTGGCCTGAGGACAGAAAGGGGCGTGCCCCCCTCCCGCGGGTGAAGACAGCATGCCCGTGTGATGCCTCTGCCTCCCGTCTCGGCAGCGCTGACCTCGCCTGCCCCTCTGCTCTTGACTTCGGAGCCTGACCATTCTTCGTTGGTCCCCGGAGCCCACGGCGCGGCGATGGAGGAGGAGCTGAAGTGCCCGGTGTGTGGCTCCCTATTCCGGGAGCCCATCATCCTGCCCTGCTCTCACAATGTCTGCCTGCCGTGCGCTCGCACCATCGCGGTTCAGACCCCAGACGGCGAGCAGCACCTGCCCCCGCCGCTCTTGCTTTCGCGGGGTGCCGCCGCGCCTCCTCCGGATCAGGACGCTGCGGCAGGCGCTACCTGCGGAGGCGCCGGCGCTAGCACAGCTGGAGGCCTGGGCGGCGGGGCGGCCGGTGGTGGAGACCACGCGGACAAGCTGAGCTTGTACAGCGAGACTGACAGCGGCTATGGTTCCTACACCCCCAGCCTCAAGTCTCCCAACGGAGTCCGCGTGTTGCCCATGGTGCCTGCGCCCCCAGGCTCTTCTGCCGCCGCGGCCCGGGGCGCTGCCTGCTCCTCACTCTGCTCATCCTCTAGCTCCATCACCTGCCCGCAATGCCACCGCAGCGCGTCACTGGATCACCGCGGCCTGCGAGGCTTCCAGCGCAATCGACTGCTGGAGGGCATAGTGCAGCGGTACCAGCAGGGCCGCGGGGTTGCTGCTGGAGCGTCTGCAGCCCCGGCGGTGGCCATCTGCCAGCTGTGCGACCGCACCCCACCGGAGCCGGCAGCCACTCTCTGCGAGCAATGCGACGTGCTCTATTGCGCCACCTGCCAGCTCAAGTGCCACCCGTCCCGGGGCCCCTTCGCTAAGCATCGGCTAGTTCAGCCGCCGCCGCCTCCAGCACCCCCGGAGGCTACCCCTGTTTCAGCCGGCACATCCACGGCCCCCAGCGCAGGAGGATGCAGGAGCCCAGGGGGCGCCGGGGCCAGCGCGCCTCGAAAGTTCCCCACATGCCCCGAGCACGAAATGGAGAACTACAGCATGTACTGCGTGAGTTGTCGGAGCCCGGTGTGCTTCCTGTGCCTGGAGGAAGGCAGGCATGGCAAACACGAGGTGAAGCCGCTGGGGGCAACGTGGAAGCAACACAAGGTGAGCACGGGCTGCGTGGGGATGTCAGCCAGGGTGGAAGTCAAGAGTATCCTGGCCTCTTCTTGGGAAGTTGCGGGAGGTTGGGCCTGAGGGTCAAACAGGATTCACTGCACCCATCTGCTCACGCATTTGCCCTTCCGTCCATCCATCTACCCATGTGTTTGTCTGTTCATCCATGTATATGTCCATCTGTCTATCCATCAGCATGTTCACAGATCCATCCATCCATGTGTTCATGAATACATTCATGTATACATCCATCTATCCATCCATGCACCCACCCATCCAAGGATTCCAGCATCACTATCTGGCCAATACTCAGTGAATCAGGTAACCCTGCACTGGGTGTTGGATGGGTGGGTTATAAAGATGACTCGTTAAGCTTCCTCTCTGAGACTTTTCTTTTCTTCGCAAAGGGCTGCCAAAGCACAGAAAACAGGACTCTCTTAAAGTATAAGGCACACTGTCAGAACTACTTCCTTCTAAGGGAAAAAAAGATTTTCAGGTGCAAGTGGTACCATCTGTCTGCAGGAACCCATCTGAAGTCTTCCTTGGATCTGCAGCCAAGGCAGTGAGGCAGCACCCAGCTCAAACACCCTTGAGCACCCGGGGCTCACCTTGTACTGCTTCCACACACCTTCTGTCAGCTTCACCTCACCAAGCAGACACACTTTTTCCCTGTCAGCTTCCAGGGAAGAAACGTCTCTGCCTTCAATTAGCTTCCAGCTTGTTCTATGCCCAAAATTCCTTTCAGCCTAGAGATGAGGCAATGCCTCTTAGGCTCTGCATGAGATTTTTGGGTGTGTCCTAAGACAGGAGAGTGGTTTTCTCCAGAGCCCTCTTGTCTGAGGCTCTGATACTGAAGCTGTGGAGGAATGGCAGACCAAGTTCTTAGTAAGAGACCAAACACATCTGCCTACAGCCTTTCCTCTGGGGGTGTCACTGTTAGCCACTTATGCCTGGCAACAAGCTCTCTTCTCTGTCGCAGAGTGAGAGAAAAAGCCCGGACAGTCTGCTTGGGCTGGGCCATCCACCAGTCATCAAAGCAAGGTCAGGTCAGCTCCTCACTAGACATTCTATCCAGGTCTCAGTGCCTCTTTAGACTGACAAATTAGAGTAATGTGTTCATGGACCACGACAAAGGCTGCATTTCATGCATCCAGTCTTCAGATGCAAGAGGTGCCCAGACTAACTGTGTGTATTTGGGTTGAGCAGAGCCATAGGAAAATAAGGCTGCTTGCCAAGACACCTTATCACAAGAACAGCAAACGGCCCAGAGCAGTCAGAGGTGCGGCTTATCTATGTGGAACACATAGTGACTTTTATGCTCTCATCTGCTTCAGTGAACACATGTTGTTATGATAATTTAATATTTAGAAAAGTTTGGGGTTTTGTTTGTTGCTTTTGTTTGTTTGTTTTTCAAGACAGGGTTTGTCTGTGTAAAATCCCCTGACTGTCTGTAAACCAGGTTGGCCTTGAACTCACAGAGGTCTACCAGTTTCTGCCTCCTAAGTGTTGGAATTAAAGGTGTGCACCTCCCTGTAACCCCTTCCCTCCCTGCTTCATTCCCCTGCTGAGGAATTTTGTTTTGTTTTTAAAGTCTTATTTTACACACAGTATAGTTCAGGCTGGCACTAAACTCACGAAGATCCTGGTTTCTGTCTCCTGAGTGCTGGGATTACAGAGGCAAACCACGGCACACACCTGGAGTTTATTTGTTATATGTATTATACATAAATGAAAAATATAGACATATGGAAATACAGAAAAAAGTAAGCAGAGAACCCTTCAAAAAATTGCCTTGGAGAAGGAAATGCGTTCAATAGATGTGGGGTTAGACCTTAGTCTTAGAGCAGGGATTCCCAGCAGGGCCAATGTGCTTTTCCACCCCGGCTCCTCCTGACCCCGAAAGGTCTGGAGATTGGGCTTCCACCACATGTAGTGATCCGGCAGTGCAAGTGAGAAGTGGCTCAGTGATCCAGCCCCTGCTCTGTGCTCCTGGAGCAAAGCCCTGCTCTGGGCTTCCACAGCCTTGGTTCCACAGCGCAGCCTTGAGAGCTACTAGCTACTTAACTTTGAACCCACGGGGAATAACATCTAGTTTGGATTCTTGTGGGATAGGGTAAGTAAGTGCATAGCCTCCCATGTGGTCCTCAAGGCATTAGGTGTCATTTGTCATTTAGGGCACTTAGACTCAATCCATGAACAGGGCAGCAGCACCCTGTTCTTTTTAGCCCCATTGACTTGGAAAAAGCAGCAAGTGGTGACTGTGGATATTTTTTTCTGAATTGATTTCAGTTTTCTTTCGTTGGTATGCTTTTTAAACTTACATTTGTTATTTTTTTTTCCAAGACAGGGTTTCTCTGTGTAGCCCTGGCTGTCCTGGAACTCTGTAGACCAGACTGGCCTTGAACTCACAAAGATCTGCCTGCCTCTGCTTCCCAAGTGCTAGGATTAAAGGCGTGTGCTACCATTGCTCAGCTTCTTGTTGGGCCATTTTCAAACAAACTTATTTTATGCCTTGCTATTCAAGTTTCATCTGAAAGCGAATAAGCTGCAGTTTGTAAACTTGGATATAGCGGACGAGAAAATGAGAGGAAAGAGATGCAGCTCACTTGGTAGAGCGCTTGCTGCTACCAACAAAAACCCAGGTTCAAGCCTCATCACCCCATAAAGCAGATGGCCCGCACCTGTCATTCCAGTACTCAGAGTGGAGGCAGCTACATTCTCAGTTTGAGGTCAGCCTGGGAGACACGAGTCCCTGTCTTTCCACAGTTTGTGAGGTGAAAGACTTTGCAGGTGGGAATTCCAAGTGGGGAAGGGTGAGCTGGCCTTCCACATGGTTGGGATTTCCCGACCTCCCATTGCAGCTGGGACCTTTGTGAGTTCTCCCAGCATTTGGCAGCCTTCTCACCGGGAGTGAGGTTCATTCTCTGTTACTTTCTGGGATAACCGAGGTACAAGTGCAAGGAAACCCAATCACCAGTATCAAATCAACTTCTTTACAATCCCCAGAAAAGCAGCAAAAGTCACTGGGCTAGTAGTCCTTCCCCTGTGCCCTCCCACAACCTTGCAGCGACATCCCACCCTCTCCAGGCCAGGAGGCCCTGAACTCCCTCCTGTTTCTCAGAGCCAGCTGAACACGGGGGTTCTCCTAGAAGCCCAACTCCCCAGGAGCTGTTCTAAGGGACATACCCACGTTCCATATAGCCTGCAGTGACAGTCACTTTAGAGCCCCAAAGGCAGCCCCATTCGGGTTTCTGAAGCATACGTAGATCCTGAGCAGGCCAGGCTTCTGTGGAGCTCTGTATGTCCAACAAGTTCCCAGGAGAGGCAACCGTGCAGAGCTGCAGGCTGCACTGCCAATAGCTGGGTCAAACGTGTTCTTCTGGAAAGGCCAGACACCAAGTAGTTTCAGTTTCACGGGTTACCAGGCGTCCACCGCACCCACTCAGTCCTTCCAAAAGCAGCTATCAGTGACCACAGGTCAAGGTCAACAGAGTAGCTGACCAAAACCTGATCCCCCCACCCCGAAACTCCTGGGTGGTCCTCAAAGGTTCTCTCTTGTTTCTGTCACTGCGGTGCCCACTCCTGTGAGGCTGGTCTAGGGGTTTCAAGTGGCCCTCCTACCTCTATGCCTCCTCTCTCCCACAGGAGAGCTGGGATTACACACAGCACGTGGGCTGGTGCTTATGATTTTAACCTAAGGGAATAATCAATATGTAAGCAAAGATTTAAATAAGAGAATGTTCAGCTGGGTGTCGTGGCATATGCCTGTAATCTCAGCATTCAAGAGGCTGAGGCAAGAAGAGGATTGCTACAAGTTTGGAAAATCAGCCTGAGCTTGGGGTTGATTTGTTATCTTTGCAGCGGTGACCATCTCTCCTCTTGTATGTAAATAATATTCTTTAACAGCTGGCGGTGCTGGCATTTCCATCTAGTGGCTCACAAACATCTGTAACTCCAGATCCAGGATATCTGACACCTTCTACTTGCCTCCTCGGGCACACTCACTTGCACAAACACATTCAGATACAATACACGTTAGTAGTAGTAATAGTAATCACTTTGAAAAAATTAGGTCTAGGCTGTGCCAGGCAAATACTTGGCCTTAACCCAATCCCCCAATCTTTGATTCTAGTTTGTGATCTTTTTTAGACATCTAGGTGATGTCTAAAATCTAGGAAATTAATGAAATATGACTAACCAGAAAGGTTTCCTCGAGGGAGAAAGAAGCCCCGCTATCACTCAGCAAACCACCGCCATCTGGATGATGGCTTATGCATGGAGTTGTGTGTCTACACAGCTACCAGCCGCTGCTGGCACTTCCTGTTTTAAGCAGAGCTGACTTTACCATCATATCCTTCACTGAGTTATGTCTCAGGAAAGTCTGTGCTACAATCAGCCCACTAAAGAGCCGTGACCACTAGTGTCCTAAGGACCAAGGCTTCAGGAGGAGCTCCTATTTTACCTCAAAGGGTAAAAATCTCAGCATGGGGGCTGGGAGATGGCTCAATCAGTAACAAGCTCACTTGGCAAGGGTGAGGGCCCAAACTTAATCTGCAGAAACACATTAAAAACTGGCATGGTGGCTCACGTTTGTAGTTCCAGAGACTGTGAGATGGAAGCTGAGATAGGCAGGTCCCTTTTGCTCACTAGCCAGTCAGCTTAGTTTTGACAAAGTTCCAGGCCAATAGGAGACTTTGTCTCAAACAAAGAAGTCGGAGGAAGGTGCCTGAAGAATGACATCTAAGTTTGTCCTTTGGCATGCATATAAACGAACACACACGTTTTTCTCTCTCTCTACACACACACACACACACACACACACGCACGCACGCACGCGCACACACACGCATGCATGCATGCATGCACACACGTGTACACCCATCACAGCAAAAACAAAATATTTGAGTGGGTAATGAGATGGGCGGCTTTGGATAAGGGGTAGGTACTAAAGTGTGAACAACAGTAACGTGCGTGTACCTTAACTGCTGAGC